TGTCACGATTGCATTATATCATTAACCAATTTGCAATGTTGTCCTTACCTGTGCTGCTAAATTTCACTCTGAATGAATTCTAAATGAATTACTTCTGATTGTTTTTTGAGGAGTTTCAGCCAAACACATTTTTGGAGTTATGGGTAATATTGCAGTGTTAACATAATGGTACATGTAGCTATAGCCTCAGGGTTAATTCTTGCATGTTTTCAATGTATTTGTCACAATCGTGTCAATACAACCAACAATGTTGGTACATTCACATTGGTTTATAAGTTTTTGTAAAACTAGAGAGGTCACAGTTCTGTAGTATTGTAGACAAACCATAGACCTGGGATTGCTCAGGCGACACAACGCCAACACATTTTTTTTTACACCCAGTTTTGCATTGTATAATAGTGGGGAAATATTAAAATAATGTCGAACACATGGCTAGACAAATAATCTAAGTCCACAAGTATAGCATGAGTGACTTGAACCACAGTTATGTGTTCAACACAAAATTGAATGTTTAATAACCAAACTGGCTTGCCAATCTGGCTGTACAAATGTGACAGTGCACCGCATGCAACAGTAAATTTTACCGAGAAATAATTGTAAACTTAGAAATAATAGATGTAATTTTTTTTTTATTTCTGTTCTTAGCACTTATGTATAGTATATTTGGATTCACATTTGAAAAAATTCGAGGTACAGAAGACGAAGCCAACACAGTAGGAGCCGGCACTTTGACAGGAATTTTGTATGGCTCAGCGGGTATGTAAACCATTTAATTTATTTTCAATTTTCATGATTTCATCTTATAGCATTCGTAAGAACAAAAATTCTCAAAAGTCAGTGCTACACTGGTTTCCTGACTTTTGAAAATATTTTTCTCACAAAATTTTAACGAGCATCGCAGCATTTCTATGTCTCATCATTGAAGTCCGAAAATGTCGGACCTTTTCCGTTTTCTGTGTATCTGAAAGTATTTCATTATTACACAAAGGCAATACAATTTGGGTATAATTTGCAAAATAAAAAATTATAAAATATGGCCCACTATCACCTATGAATACCGCTGCGAGTTGTACAATGATGATATACATTATTATACGTATATGGGTGGCCATTTGGCGGCCATTCATTTATTGTGGGTGAAGATACAAAAATAACCAAATCTTTAGAAAAATTATATATAATTTCATGGACAAGTTTCTCAAGGTTGATCAGAGTAAAAAAAAAAGTGTTTTAGAGGATTATTGTAATTGAACGACCGCTTATGCGGATTAGCCTGGGCTTTTACTCATCTTGTTATTCTTACACATGCAAATTAAATTGATTTTCAGGGGGTCTACAAAGGATGGCAAGAGGTGGTACGATTGGTTTAATATTATCAAGTTCCTGGTGTCTTTATCAAAACAAAGACAGACTCAGAAGTTATTTTGGTGGGCAGCCTATGTACTGAAGGAATCAAAATCTGCTTTCTTAACTTTGATGTTTATTTATTTTCATATCAGTAATTACATTTGTATAATTTAGGAGCTGTAAAATTGTTGTTGCTTGACAATAACAATTTAACATGATTGGTTTTGCACCAGTTTTGTTTTTTCCAAATTCTATTGTAATTTTGACGCTATTGTTTGATTTTGTGAACATCATCTTTTGCAGATAACCTTGTCACCACTGCTCTAGGTTCTCATAAATTAGATCCCATTGCACATCATTTTTTGCCACCCGATGATTTGAGGCTGTTCCTGAGAATGAAATCTTACATTATAAATACAATAGAATCATTTTTGGTTAAATGACCGCTGATGAATTTTGCCACTGAAACTGTATTTTATGTTTTGAACTGTGTGTGCTCTTTCCAATCATAATGGCAATTTATTCCTGCGTCTAGCAGGATTCTCCCACAGTTTCATTTATTACTGTATGAACCTGTGGGTTTGGTCTCTCCTCCATTGAGACTGTTTAACCTAAGGTAGGATGCTCTTGATCCACCAATCGTATATCAGAAACTAGGCTCCAAAGGTACTAGTAAAATAATTGTCTGATTTACCTCAATGTAAACCCGAAACTGAAAATATCATCCCAGTGTGAGGTTTGGATACAACGATAGAAAGTGTCATTTTTAAGGTCATTTGTTGGTATAAATACGAAAGAAAATTACCCAATTCTTTTGTTATAAATGTGTTTACATGTTGTTTCAGTTATATGTTATCAACCTTAGAGTTTTTTACACACAGTACGAAATATTTTGTTGAAAAAAAAAATGGCTGAAAACATGCATAAATGGATTATTTTTGAAACTGTTTTCTAAGGAATTCATGTTTAAAAAATATTAGCACATGTGCTTGTGTAAATTCACAGTATACACTGTACATGTACAACAAGTACCCTTTGTGGTTTATGTCTGCTTCTATAAAAGGATGAGCTTCTAATAGAACAAATACAGCAGCATTATTTGTTGGAATACTACTGGTACTACCGTAGTATTTAGGTATGTGTAACACATCTTTTAAGTATGTGCATATTTTTCACAATGTATACCAAACAAAAACCATTTTACCATAACCAATGCTAAATGGCTACAAAAATTACAATTTTCATGATATTTTTTGGATGTGACATAAAATAAAGCGACATACTGTAGAATACTTTATTTTGCTTGGAATTTATTTTCGCTGAAAGGATGCTTAAGTGAAAATAAAATCCAGCAAATATACCTTTTTTTAATATTTCACATTCAACACATCAAAAATCAGTGAAAATAAATTCCATACATAACACCCAAAAAAACTTTATCAGCGAAACTTAATTCCAACTAAAATTGAGTATTTTACAATAATCAAAGTCAAGGTAATCTTGCAGTAAGTTTCATTGCTTGCAGACTACCTTAATTATATATTGTCTGTAAGCAATATTTAGCGGACAGTTGAATCATTTAGTATTGTTTCTGAATACTATTGGATTGTAAGGAAAAAAATAGCACAAATTGTTACTATCGATGCCAGATTTGTTAATCTAAAATATTATCAATGTAATGCAATGTTAATTTTTGAACAAGACAGAATCAGACAATGCATAATTTTTTGAAACTTTGAAGTCTTCAGAAATCTGTGGAACTACCCCTCCTGCATGTTACAAAAATTGACTTGGTAATGAAATGGTTCATTAAAATATTCCATCCATCATTTCCTTGTTTAGATAATCATGCAGGTCTGTTCAAAAGTACTGATGGATAATATTCTTGTTTAATGTCTTTCAAAAAATGGATCTTTTGTTGTATACAAATACTCTGAAGATGACCTTTACTAAGTTACTGTTCGAACAGTATGTTTTTTTTTTTTTTTTTCCAAATTATTTCAGTTACAAAAAGAAGGGGTTGATTATCAATCTTTATTTGTAATTTATTTTTTGTTCAAATTTTGTCTTGGTTTGTTTCATGGAGTTGTTAAAATTGCCTTGGGCTACTTTTAAGCCTGCATGCAACCTCAACAATTTATTCACTTATTATGTCTTAAGGTTTATTGTCACATTTTACAAGTGATTTAAAGATTCATTCTTGTACTACAACTTGAGACATGTTTTCATGATTTGCGTAATTAGTACATGATGAACACTGATCACTTGATTCCATAATGGTGTACCAGAACTATGTAAAGAAAATGTTAGAAGGAGCATCATACTTGTGCATTCTTCAGATATTTGCTGTAGATTACAAGTTACTGTAAAAGACTTTATTTTAGTTGGAATTAATTTTCAAAGAGTTTTTGGGTCTTTTGTATGGAATTTATTTTCACTGATTTTTGACTAGTTGAATGTAAAATATGGGAAAAAAAGGTATATTCGTTAGATTTTATTTTCACTGAATCATTTCTTTAGCAAAAATAGTGAAAATTAAATTAAAGCAAAAATGAAGTATTTTACAGTACTGCAATCGCATAATTTATTCAAAGCTACACAAGTGTGGGTAACGCATGTTTACTTTGGTCTCCTGGATTATGTTCAGCTCTTGTACATTTAGATATTTGCTGTATACGTAGATTACATTTATCTGTATATAAACTTAATATCTATTGATGGGAATTACTGTACTTTATATTAAGCATAGATAAATGCTTTCCAATTTTTACAGAATGTTTATTAATTTGTATTGCTTCTTTGGAATGTATGTGAAAAATCGAATGAAGCAGATATAGCTCATTTACAAACACAAAAAGTCATCCGATTGAAGGGCGGTGGTTGTCATGCCACGTATGCACGAGATACGAGTCTTGTATAAACAAAGATGGCGACTATTGTGCAGACGAGCGAGTACAAACTGAGACAACAGGGACTACTCCTACCCATGATTCATTGTGTTCATTGGGTTTGTCTCGTTTTTTATTGCACTTCCATTTTGTTTTTGCTCTTAGCTGTCTGCTCCTAGCTTTCTTTGTGTCTGTAATTGCAGTTGTTAAACTAAACAGTCTTATTTGAAAGACTATCTATTTGGTTCAAAATTAAAGCTGAAAAAAAAGACTATTTTTATAACATTTGGGGGGAAACCTGCATCAGAGAGGTGGGGGTGTGGTTGGGTGTGTGTGATTCTAAATAGCAGCCATTCTGGTGCTAAAAAATCATCAAAAATCTAGCATTTTTGGCATTCCCAACTGGATCTTGATGTTTATGGATAGATTTTTCAGATCGGATTTAAAATGGCTGACT